GTACTGCATCAATGCACTTTTGTAACCCCTCTTGGGTTGTAGAAAACAATAGCAAGTCATCAGCATATAACAAACTGTTATATGTTATAACTGTTATAACAAACTGTTTGCTGTCTACGACATGCACTAATAAAACTCTGCATTCTGTAACGCCGTTATATACTGTTTCTGTGCATCCAAATAAATCGGTCCGTCTTTGCTCGCTTTCTAGTGCACGTCGCTTCATAAATTTGAACGAAACATGTCAGCAGCAGAAATGTTGCGTTCGTAAACAGCTGCTTAACAAAGTCACCGACTAATGGCGTCCCTTAGCCCGTGCTAAGGACTGCCCCTTCCAATGCGTGGAGGCAATTGGGTCTAGTCAAAATGCAATCATGTAGCATGAACATTACTATTGTCCAGCATTATAATACCGTGAACAAACATACATGCCATTCACTGCTAAGTCAGCCAACTACACACATCTATGCTAGACCCCCCCCCCCCATATAACTTACTGAACCACCCAACACCGTTTTGTACACATGCAGTAGTCCTGGAATATTTTCACAGATATTTTTCATATTGCATTATACCATTCATAATAGCAGAATATAAAAATGAAGCAGAGCATCATGGGTATTTTTTAGCTGATTGTGTCTAAGCCACTCTAAAATAACCTTCCATCTACCCTTCCACATAAACTTCTACAGTTTATAACACACATTATGAAAAGTTACTGATTAAGTATTTCAATGTAAAATGTTATAGTTTGGGTGTATTTGAAGACTGAACTTTAGTTTTTTGTCATTATTAAAATGGAATTTTGTTTATGTTTGAGCTTAACCCCACTCATAAAGACAGGCTCTTTTTTCAGATTAATAACTCGCTGTTTATGTGACTTTTTGGAGTAACTCGCTGTGACTTTTTGGAGTAACCAGCTGTTTATGTGACTTTTTTTGGTGGAAAGTCAGTTGCTGAGTATTTTGGGGGTTGCACACTGTTCGAATGTTCAGTAGTGAATGTCTTGCTTGTTTGTTCAAGGTATTATAATGATAGACATTGCCTTTATAAGAACATGAAGTAGTACAGAGTCTCGTTGTCAGTCCATTTTTATCTCAAGAATAATGTCACAGAATGTGCTTGTAATAATTGTCAAGTTTAGTATAGTTATGAATAAGAATAGTTATGAATAGTTATGAATATAAGTCAAATTTTCGAATGGACATCAAGTACAATGGTATTTTGGGTGATTAGCCTGAGCTCATGTTTGCACAAACTTCGTTAGCGCCCGTAATAAGGGTCTAGACCGTATTATGAAAACAGGTCATCTTCTATGTTTAATAACCTATTGCATTACACTATATATTAATAAGTCAACAGTATCAAGTGCATGATCTGTTGTGATTTCAAAAACAAATTAACCCAAAACTTCATATTATTTCAAGATATATAATTCCATATTTCAAATTTTTCTAAATCTTGTATTTTACGTTTACTTACAATATTACTGGCTTAAAATTGAAGCAAACTGAAGCGAGGGAGGAAAAAGAGGAGAGCTGTCAATCCCCATGTGCCATTACCGGGTATATCTGTGACATGAAAAAAAAATGACCATTTTATTCATGTAATGAAAAATAAAATGATCATTATAATACCCATTAAGAAAATAGATTGTCACCCACTCCATCATTAAATAAAAAAAAACTATTATTCTGACCAGTATAAAAATAGTGCTCATTATAACTACCAGTTGGAAATTACTGGTCAATATTTTGACCATTAAAAAAGTTCTGGTTGATATTCTGACCATTAAAAAAATAGTGGCCATTACAATGGCCAGAAGTGGACTTTTTAAAGGGGTCTGAGGGGTGTAAAAAACAGAGTTAAAGTGAAATGAAAAATTATTATAACCTCCTCACTAACCTATAAGTATGAATTAATATTCAAAAGTTGTGAAAATTAAAACTTTCCGAAGAGCGACGGAATTTCCGAAAGTACTCTGGACGCTGTTTCATATTGTATGTAATACTGAATCAAAATTACCTTAGTGGTTCACAAGTAGGGAATAATATGATGATGTTTACACCACACGTGTACAAACATCACTCATGCAGCTGAAATTTGTTTTTCTACCAAACATATTGTAGTACAGTGTAATACAATGGATAATGATGAGAGTTTCAAATCTATGATCACAAATGTGATGCACATTGATATATTAAGTCTATGGGATTCGAAATTGCCATTACTCATTACGAATACCAATATCTGAAATACTTTCAGTAACATTTTTACAAATAGACGGTCAAATTTTTCCTCAAATTTTGCAGACAATATCATGAAAAATATGCATAGAGCAAATACCCACTATATATCTTTCCGAGTCGTAGTCAAATGGTTTTTGTTTCATCGGGAAAGTGGCATTGATGCCATGATCTATATTCAGCTGTTCATATTTAACCGCAGGCTCATTTTATCTGTCAAAAACTCCTTTGAATGTTGAGGCTGGTCATTTCGTACAAAACCTTTGGTTTAGTTTTTGGATGATAGAGGACAATGTATTTTTTAGTCTGTAAATGTACTAGTAGCTTGGATTGACGAATATATATGTAGGAGAGAATAGGATGTTGCTGCGAAGATGTGGAAAAATAGTGACAGTAAAATTTAAATTGTTTTCTTGACGTATAGCCTGGTAGAAAACTGGCCCTTACAATCAAATTCTAGGCACAAATGTATGAAGTAGAAAAAGCAGATTAGGTAGTCTCCTCAAACTTCAAGTTCAACCGGATATATCAAGGGAATCTAATCAATAAATTTAGAATTTTTGATGGAATTTAATGGATTTGGCTTCTTCATATATTTTGTGTTTAACCAATTTCTATAAAAATGGTCAGCTTCATATGAATAAGCAAAGACATTAGAAAAAGATACTGATGTCTTTGGAATAGGGCACTGGTTTAAACAAAATCGCACCACTCTTTTTTTTTAAATGGACACAGCAATTTTTATTAAACAAGTTTATGTTCATTAAAAAGATATTTACATGCTTAGTCAAGAAATATCTCTTAGCATAAATCTCAGATTTCTAATTTATGTATATGGATAGCTAATTGAATTAAGCTGTTACAAGACTATTATCTTTGGGTTGGAGTCCCAAAAAATATTTTTTTTCAATTGGCAAGGTCTAGCGTCACCTTGGTCTGCCGTCAGCATTTGGAAAAAGTAAAGTAAATGTAGTCTCAGATGTGATATTTTTTAGCGATGTAATATATGTGATGTGATACAATTGTTTGTATGTAAATAATGCATCATTAGTATTCGTTTGCATGCTTGTTTCTCATTAGCATAATGAGTCAACCTTTACAGTCATTCACAGTAATGACCAAATATATGTATTCAAGCAAGGCAATAATGTTACCATACATTGTGCATTTACCACATACTTTAAGTTGACACACACTGCGCACTTAAAAAATAATAAAAGCTACATGTATTAAACTGTGTAGACTGGAATCTGTCATCATGTTGAGTCTCTATAAATAATGGAACAATTCGCTCAGTCCTTTTAGTGTGTGTCTGTCTTCACTGTATGAGGCACATGCATACTATATACTAAACTCCCCTGTAAACTGAGATTTCAGTATATTTAGTGATTGGTTTGGATACGTTACACTGTACATATATGATAGCAACACATGGTTATGTGAGAGAACTTAACAAAGTTAACAAAGCTGTCAGAAGCAGCACCAGGACGGATAATGTATTTGGCAAATTCATGTGTTATCAATGTACACAACTACAGTTATTACAGTTCTGTGATGAAAAAACATCTTTTAGTGGTAAATATCTCAAACAATCTAATCGGAAAACACAATAGATATATTACAAAATGTACAATTTATTAAGAAATTCTAGTCAAAAAATTATTTTGATTTCTTGGAAACCTTTGATGAGCGTGAGCTTGCCTAGATCTATGTGATGCTTGTGAGGGCGATCTAGGAGGCGTTCCTGTTGATTTTACTGAAGTCGAAGAAGTTGGTCTTTTAGCTGCTCCTGATGGTTCTGGGACAGTCATCTGTGTTGGTGTTGATGGTGGTTTTCCTTTGTCTTTTCCCTTTCCCTTGACAACTTCAGCTTCTTTAGCATCCTCACTTGGGGTCCGATTCTCAGGGATTGTTGGTGTAACACTCTTTCCATCAATAGCTCTTAGTCTTTCCAATGCAGTTTTCAACTCATCCTCAAGTTCAGAAACTTTTTCTTCAGCATTTTGTGCCCGTTCCTCAGTCTCTCTGCAAATGGTCAATCAATAGTAATACAGTATATATACACACAAAAGATTTTAGCAAAAGAATATGATATAATATATATCATTACATGTGCTATTGCGCATTCTTAGATTACTTGACTGCATACCACATGACAAATGTCAGTCACAACAAACAACCAGCTGGATTTTCCACACACAAATTTTGACACACAACCTTTCTGTCATATTATGATGGCAATTTCGAAATCCCAGAGACTTAATTACCTTTGAATATTTTTAAGAATATTTCTGATAATTTGACTAGTTTATAATTAGGGTAGGGACATGATGTTTTACTAGCTCTTTTTGAGCTATTTATCATGTTCCACACCATAATGACAAAG